AACTCATCTTGAGTTGGTGTTTTGTGTTTTTTTTGTTTGTTTGTTTTTTGTTTTTTTGAGATGGAGTCTTGCTCTGTCACCCAGGCTGGAGTGCAGTGGTGCGATCTCAGCTCACTGCAAGCTCTGCCTCCTGGGGTCACACCATTCTCCTGCCTCAGCCTCCCGAGTAGCTGGGACTACAGGTGCCCGCCACCACGCCCGGCTAATTTTTTTATTTTTCTTTTTACTTTTTGTATTTTTAGTAGAGATGGGGTTTCACCATGTTAACCAGGATGGCCTCGATCTCCTGACTTCGTGATCCACCCACCTTGGCCTCCCAAAGTGCTGGGATTACAGGCATGAGCCACTGTGCCTGGCCAAGTTGATTTTTATATAAGGTGAGAGATCAGGATCCAGTTTCATTCCTCTACAGGTGGCTAGCCAGTTATCCCAGCATTTGTTGAAAAGGGTGTCCTTTCTGCACCTTATGTTTTTGTTTGGTTTGTTGAAGATCAATTGGCTGTAAGTATTTGGGTTTATTTCTGGATTCTCTATTCTGTTCCATTGGTCTATGTGCCTATTTTTATACCAGTACCACGCTGTTTTGGTGACTATGGCCTTATAGTATAGTTTGAAATCAGGTAATGTGATACCTCCAGATTTGTACTTTCTGCTTAGTCTTGCCTTGGCTATGTGGGCTGTTTTTTGGTTCCATATAAATTTTAGAATTTTTTTTTTCTAATTCTGTGAAGAATGATGGTGGTGGTATTTTGATGGGGATTGTGTTGAATTTGTAGATTGCTTTTGGCAGTATGGTCATTTTCACAGTACTGATTCCACCCATCCATGAGCATGGGATGTGTTTCCATTTGTTTGTGTTGTCTATGATTCCTTTCCTCAGTTTTGTAGTTTTCCTTGTAGAGGTCTTTCGACTCCTTTGTTAGGTATATTCCTAAATTTTTGTTTTGTTTTGTTTTGTTTGTTTGTTTGTTGCAGCTATTGTAAAAGGGGTTGAGTTCTTGTTCTTGATTTGATTCTCCGCTTGGTCGCTGTTGGTGTATAGAAAAGCTACTGATTTGTGTACGTTAATCTTGTATCCAGAAACTTTGCTGAATTCTTTTATCAGTTCTAGGAGCTTTCTGGAGGAGTCCTTAGGGTTTTCAAGGTAAACGATCATATCATTAGCAAACAGTGACAGTTTGACTTCCTCTTTGTGGATGTGGATGCCCTTTCTTTCTTTCTCTTGTATGATTGCTGTAGCTAGGACTTCCATACTGTATTGAAGAGAAGTGATGAGAGTGGGAATCCTTGTCTTGTTCCAATTCTCAGGGGGAACAGTTTCAACTTTTCCCCGTTGAGTATTATGTTGGCTGTGGGTTTGTCATAGATGGGTTATTTTGCTTGTTTTGTTTTATTTTGTTTTGTTTGAGATGGAGTCTCGCTGTCACCCAGGCTGGAGTGCAGTGGGGCGATCTCAGCTCACTGCAATCTCCGCCTCCCGGGTTCAAGGGGTTCTCCTGCCTCAGCCTCCCGAGTAGCTGGGATTACAGGCATGCGCCACCACACCCAGCTAATTTTGTATTTTCAGTAGAGACGGGGTTTCACCTTGTTGGTCAGGCTGGTCTCGAACTCCTGACCTCAGGTGATCCACCCACCTCAGCCTCCCAAAGTGCTGAGCCACTGCACCCAGCCTCAATTTGAAACATTTTTTATTTTCCATCTTGATTTCGTTTTTGACCTAATGCTCATTCAGGAGCAGGTTATTTGATTTACATGTATTTGCATTTTTTGTTTGTGGGGTTTTTTTTGGTGCTTTGTTTGTTTTGAAGTGGTGTTTTGCTCTTGTCGCCCTTGCTGGAGTGCAATGGCACAATCTCGGCTCACTGCAACCTCCGCCTCCGAGGTTCAAGCAATTCTGCCTCAGTCTCCCAAGTAGCTGGGATTACAGGTGCTTGCCACTACACCCATCTAATTTATTTGCATGGTTTTGAAGGTTCCTTTTGAAGTTGATTTCCAGTTTTATTCCACTGTGCTCTTAGAGAGTGCTTGATATAATTTCAATTTTGTTAAATTTATTGAGGCTCATTTTACGGCCTGTCATATGATCTGTCTTGGAGAAAGTTCCATGTACTGTTGAATAAAATGCATATTCTGCGGTTGTTGGATGAAATGTTCTATATATATCTATTAAGTCCGTTTGTTCCAGGGTATAGTTTAAATCCATTCTTTGTTGACTTTTCGTTTTGATGACCTGTCTAGTGCTGTCAGTGGAGTATTGAAGTCCCGCACTATTATTGTGCTGCTGTCTATCTCATTTCTTAGGTCTGTTAGTAATTGTTTTATAAATTTGGGAGCTCCAGTGTTAGGTTCACATATGTTTAGGATTGTGATATTTTCCTGTGACAAGGCCTTATTACCATTATATATCTAATGTCCCTCTTTGTCTCTTTTAACTGCTGTTGCTTTAAAGTTTGTTTTGTCTGATATAAGAATAGCTACCCCTGCTTGTTTTTGGTGTCTATTTGCATGAAATGCCTTTTTCCACCCCTTTGAGTTTATGTGAGTCCTTATGTGTTAGGTGAGTCTTCTGAGGGCAGCAGATGGTTGGTGAGTTCTTATCCATTCTGCAGTTCTGTATCTTTTAAGTGCAGTGTTTAGGCCATTCACATTCAATGTCAGTATTGAAATGTGAGGTACCATTGCATTCATCGTGCTCTTTGTTGCCTGTGTACTTTAGGGGTTTTTTGGTTTTTTGGTTTTGCTTTTTAACTTGTATTTTTGTTTTATAGGTCCTGTGTGATTTATGCTTTAAAGAGGTTCTGTTTTGATGTGTTTCCAGGATTTGTTTCAAGATTTAGAGCTCCTTTTAGCAGTTCTTGTAGTGGTGGCTTGGTAATGGCGAATTCTCTCAGCATTTGTTTGTCTGAAAATGACTATCTTTTCTTCATAAGTGATACTTACTTTTTCACTGGATACAAAATTCTTGGCTGATAGTTGTTTTGTTTGAGGAGGCTGAACATAGGGCCCCAATCCCTTCTAGCTTGTAGGGTTTCTCCTGAGAAATCTGCTGTTAATCTGATAAGTTTTCCTTTATAGGTTACCTGGTGCTTCTGCCTCACAGGTCTTAAAAATCTTTCCTTCATTTTAACTTTGGATAACCTGATGACAATGTGCCTAGGTGAAGATCTTTTTGCGATGAATTTCCCAGGTGTCCTTTGTGCTTCTTGTATTTGGCTGTCTAGGTCTCTAGTGAGGCCGAGGAAGTTTTCCTCGATTATTCCCCCAAATATGTTTTCCAAGCTTTTAGAATTCTCTTCTTCCTCAGGAACACCAATTATTCTTAGGTTTGGTCGTTTAACATAATCCCAGACTTCTTAGAGGCTTTGTTCATATTTTCTTACCCGTTTTTCTTTGTCTTTGTTAGATTGGGTTAATTTGAAGACCTTGTCTTCGAGCTCTGAATTTCTTTCTTCTACTTGTTGAATTCTATTGCTGAGACTTTCCAGAGCATTTCGCATTTCTAAAGGTGTGTCCAAAGTTTCCTGAATTTTTTATTGTTTTTTCTTTATCTATTTCCCTGAATGATTTATCCCTTCACTTCTTGTATCATTTTTTGGATTTCCTTACATTGGGCTTCACCTTTCTCTGGTCCTTCCCTGATTAATAACTAACCTCCTGAATTCTTTTTCAGGTAAATCAGGGATTTCTTCTTGGTTTGGATCCATTGCTGGTGAACTAGTGCATTTTTTGGGGAGTGTTGAAGAGTCTTGTTTTGTCATATTACGGGTGTTTGTTTCTGGATCCTTCTCATTTGGGTAAGCTCTGTCAGAGGGAAGGTCTAGGGCTGAAGGCTGTTCCGATTCTTTTGTCCCATGGGGTGTTCTCTTCGTGTAGTACTCTGTCCCTTTTCCTATGGATGTGGCTTCCTATGAGCCAACTTACTTGCAGTGATTGTTATCTCTCTTCTAGGTCTAGCCACCCAGCGAGTCTTCCCAGTTCTGGGCTGGTACTGGAGGTTATCTGCAGAGTCCGGTGATGTGAACCGTCTATGGGTCTCTCATCCATGGATAACAGTGCCTGTTCGGTGGAGGTGGCCGAGGGTACAATGGACTCCATGAAGGTCCTTAGCTTTGGTGGTTTAATGGTTTATTTTTTTTCTGGTTGGCCTCCTGCCAGGAGGTGGTGCTTTTCAGAAAGCATCAGCTGTGTTAGGGGAGGAACCAGCAGTGGGCGGAGCCCTAGAACTCCCAAGATTATTTGCCCTTTGTCTTCCTGCCAGGGTGGATAGGGAAGGACAATCAGGTGGGGGTGGAGCTAGGCATGTCTGAGCTCAGACTCTCCTAGGGCAGGTCTTGCTGAGGCTGCTGTAGGGAATGGGGGTGAGATTCCCAGGTCACTGGAGTTCTGTACCTAGTAGAGTTGTGGCTGCCTCTGCTGAGTCATGCAGGTTGTCAGGGGGAAGTGGAGGAAAGCCAGCAGTCACAGGCCTTACCCAGCTCCCACACAAACCGAAGGGCCGGTCTTACTCCCACCGTGTCCCCCAACAACTGCCCTGAGTCTGTTTCCAGGCAGAGGGTGAGACTGGCCTGAAAATTTGCCCGAGGCTGTTCGCCTCCCAGCTGCAAAAGAAAAGGGCTGCAGTTCTTGCCCCACCTGTGAAGTCTGCATGCCGGATTCGTGCCCTTCCCTGAGTTCTGGCCAGGAGCCTTCTTGCCCTGTTTAAATTATTAGAGTTCGACTAGAAATTTTGAATTCCTTCTCCCTGTGGAGTTTTACCCCCTGCTCCTCTGGCCAACCTCCCTCTGGATCCCTGTGGTGTCAGGCAGGAATGGGCTGCCTGGGGACCCAGCAAGCTCCCACTGCCTTTCTGCTGCTTCCTCTTCCCCTGTATTTCGCTCACCTGAGTCTGACTTAGCTCCAGGTAAAGTCAGAAATTTCTTCTGCAAACAGACCTTCAGCCTCTCCAGTGCGGGGGTGTGTTTTGGAGAGGAGGGTCTCCCTTTCCCACGTCCACAGTTGGGGCACTCACAGTATTTGGGGGTCTCCCAGGCCCTGCAGGAGCAATCTGCTTCCTTCACAGGGTCTGTGAGCCCTCTCAGGATTGCTGGCTTGTTCTTGCAGTTGATCTGGAGCTAAAATCCACAGTGTAAGCCTCTGCATGCTGCTCTGTCTGAAGCTGCAATCTAGTCCTGCCTCCTGTTTGCCATGATCCCAGGAGCTCCCCTGCAAATAAATTATGATCGCAAGGTCCCAACATAGGCTGTTTGCAAGCTGAGGAGCAAGGAGAGCCAGTCCGAGTCCCAAAACTGAAGAACGTGGAGTCCGATGTTCAAGGGCAGGGAGCATCCAGCATGGGAGAAAGATGTAGGTGGGGAGTCTAGGCCCATCTCATCTGTCTTTTAATATCTTTCCTAACTAACCTGTAAGCTCCATGAAGACAGTCTAGCTCTTTTTCATCTCATGTCCCTCACTATACCTAACAAGGACCTTATTAAAAGTGAGTTGACTGGCTGGGTGCAGTGGCTCACGCCTGTAATCCCAGCATTTTGGGAGGCTGAGGCAGGTGGATTACTTGACCTTAGGGAGTTCAAGACCAGCCTGGGCAACATGGCGAAACTCCATCTCTACAAAAAATAATTACCCAGCTGTGGTGGGGTGTGCCTGTAGTCTCACGTACTATGGAGCCTGAGATGAGAGAATCACCTGACCCTGGGGAGGTCAAGGCTGCAGAAAGCTGTGATCACGCCACTGCAGTACAACCTGGGCGACAGAGTGGGACTGTGTCTCAAAAAAAAAAAAAAATTAATTGACTTGGTAGTTCCAACAATGAGTACCAGTTGGACCACATTATTGGCAGTGTGTCCAGGGGAACAGATGTTCACATTCAAATCCATGAAACTGGAAACAAAAAACAACAATCATGACATTGATTGATAGTGATGTTTACTATGTCAGACTGTTTAAGCTCAGCTATAAAATAGACTCTCAGCCGGGGTTGGGGGTGGCTCTTGCTTGTAATCCCAGCACTTTGGGAGGCCAAGGCGGGCAGATCACCTGAGGTCAGGAATTCGAGACCAGCCTGGCCAACATGGTGAATGAATCCCCACCTCTACTAAAAATACAAAAATTAGCCGGGCATGGTGGCATGCACCTGTAATCCCAGCTACTCGGGAGGCTGAGGCAGGAGAATCACTTGAACCTGGGAGGCGGAGGTTGCATTGAGCCAAGATCACGCCATCACACTCCAGCCTGGGCAACAGAGCAAGATTCCATCTCAAAAAATAAAATAGACTCTCATACTGTCATCTTTACATTTTGATTTCAGAGATTCTCAAACATTTAAATACTGGCACTTGACCCAGATGCTAATTCTTGCTTGATGCACTATTTATCTTTCCTTTGAATTTCTTTTTTTTTTTTTTTTTTTTGGAGTGTCTCGCTCTGTTGCCCAGGCTGGAGTGCAGTGGCTCTGCCTCAGCCTCCCGAGCAGCTGGGATTACAGGTACCCACCACCAAGCCTGGCTAATTTTTGTACTTTTAGTAGAGATAGAGTGTCACCATCTTGGCCAAGCTGGTCTTAAACTCCTGACCTTGTGATCCACCTGCCTCAGCCTCCCAAAGTGCTTGGATTACAGGCGTGAGCCACCACGCCCGGCCTGAATTTCACACTCAAAACCTCTCCTTCCTGAGAAAACAGCACCCCTGGGTGCTTAGAAGATATTTTTGGTCTATTGCAAGAAAATATGTATTAGCTGGCAGGGCATGTCCTGGTAACATGGCAGACAGTGCAAGGGTGAGGAGAGGGGTGTCTTGCTGAATAATGTGTCTCCACCCATTTCCTAAATTCCCTTGGTAACAGATGGGTCATCATTTGAATTGCTTTATAAAAAGCTGTCTTCAAATCTGAAGCACAATCTTGAGGGCAGATGCCTCTTTCTGAAAGCTCTCCTCCTTATTCATCTAACCCAGGTCCTCAGCCAGCAGAGCCATGTTCCTCAAGAGCACCACGGGTTTATTTCATTTTCCTACATCACTGACCCGAATATGCCGGGCGCCATGGGGACTCCGGCTTTGGGAGAAGCTGACGTTGTTATCCCCAGGAATAGCTGTCACTCTGGTCCAGATGGCAGGCAAGAAGGACTACCCTGCACTGCTTTCCTTGGATGAGAATGAGCTCGAAGAGCAGTTTGTGAAAGGACACGGTCCAGGGGGCCAGGCAACTAACAAAACCAGCAACTGTGTGGTGCTGAAGCACATCCCCTCGGGCATCGTTGTAAAGGTAGACAACAGAAGGCCGCTGAGGGGAGAGGCCCCGCCCAAGGGTCTCACAGCCTCCAGAGATTTCTCCCAAGTCTGAATGGGATCAGCTGAAGGGCATTCTCTTTCTGGCTCGGGCCACCCTCTACCAGCCAGGCAGTAGAGGGCACTGCAGATCTCGTCCCATCCCTGAGCCATTCCTCCCTAAGGCAGAACCACCTACAACAGCCTGGGAAGTCTGCTTCCAGGATCTTTTGGAGCCAGGGTATGGCTGCCATCCTTGAATTTGGCAGGCAGCACTGGTGCTTGGCTGCTGCCCCGGAAGCAACATCTTGACAAAGCTAAGCAGTGGCTGATAAAGGCAGGCGCCCGGGCAGCATGGTTCTTTCAAATCCATTCCCACTTCAGGAAGGCTGCCGAGATCCCCAGCATTGCTGTGGGCTCCAAGTCCCTGAGGAGGCAGCAGGCAGGCCTGGGTTGTCGGCTAGGGGTCCCAGCCCTTAGCTGTCCTGGCTGGTTAACGTTAGCGTGGCCACGTCCTCCATGCCTCTCTGTCCCCTTTGGTAAATGTCGGTGATACCTCCCCTTCTGGACAGAGAGGACTGAGGGTGAGATCATGGAGGCCAGGCATTTTCCAACCTCAGAAGAAAAAATGCTGTGCACAGCTGCCTATGGGAGTCTTCCTTCTTTACATAAAAAAACAAGTCTCGGGGCCGGGCGCGGTGGCTCAAGCCTGTAATCCCAGCACTTTGGGAGGCCGAGACGGGCGGATCACGAGGTCAGGAGATCGAAACCATCCTGGCTAACACAGTGAAACCCCATCTCTACTAAAAAATACAAAAAATTAGCCAGGAGTGATGGCGGGCGCCTGTAGTCCCAGCTACTCGGGAGGCTGAGGCAGGAGAATGGCGTGAACCCAGGAGGCGGAGCTTGCAGTGAGCTGAGATCCGGCCACCGCACTCCAGCCTGGGCGACAGAGCGAGACTCCACCTCAAAGAAAAAAAACAAGTCTCGGGCCAGGCACGGTGGCTCACACCTATAAACCCAGCACTTTGAGAGGCCAAGGTGGGTGGATTACCTGAGGTCAGGAGTTCAAGACCAGTCTGGTCAACATGGCAAAACCCCATCTCTACTAAAAATACAAAAATTAGCCGGGCGTGGTGGCGCGTGCCTGTAATCCCAGCTACTCAGGAGGCTGATGCAGGAGAATCGCTTGAACCCTGGAGGCAGACATTGCAGTGAGCCGAGATCACGCTACTGCACACCAGCCTGGGCAACAGACAAGATTCCCTCTTAAAAAAAAAAAAGACAAGCCTGATCAGAGGGGCTCCCAGTCCATCTGCCTCATGGACTGGAAGCAGCACAGAAAAGAGATAGCCAAGGCAAGTCTTTCATGTATAATGATACTGGCAGCAGATACTTACAGACCATGGAAACGTGTGGGAGGAACTGTTCTAAGCAGCATTAACTCTGCAGTCCCCATAACTGCATGTTCATTATTTCCATCACAGTACAGGTGTGGAATCTGGGACACAGAGAGGCTAAGTGACCTGCCCAAGGTCCTGCCACTTAGTAGTTCAAACCATACCCCAAGTCCATGTACCTAACAGCTGCACTTCACAGCTAGGTTTTTGAGCCACGAGCATATCATGTAAAACCTCAATCACTTTTCCTCCTTGAAAAGTGTCATTCATGAGTAACAAAATTCTGAAACATGAGAGTTAATTTTTGTTTAACCTATTTTACATAACTCATTCCAAACTTGCTTTCAGTATTATTCTTTCACCGTAATTTCATAATTTTTTTTTTTTTTTTTTTTTAAGAGACAGGGTCGGTCTTTGTCAGCCAGGCTGGAGTACAGTGGTACAATCATGGCTCAGTATAGCCTCAGACACCTGGGCTCGAGCAATCCTCCCGCCTCAGCCTCCTGAGTAGCTGGGACTGAAGGCATGCACCACCACACTCAGTGTTTTTTGTTTTGTTTTTTTTGAGACAGTCTTGCTCTATTGCCCATTCTGGAGTACAGTGGCGCAATCTCAGCTCACTGCAACCTCCGCCTCCTGGGTTCAAGCAATTCTCCTGCCTCAGCCTCCCGAGTAGCTGGGATTACAGGTGCCCATCACCACACCCAGCTAATTTTTTTGTATTTTTACTAGAGACGGGGTTTCACCATGTTGGCCAGGCTGGTTTCGAACTCCTGACCTCAAGTGATCTGCCCATCTTGGCCTCCCAGAGTGCTAGGATTACAGGATGAGCCACCGTGTCCGGTCACCCAATTTTTACATTTTTGGTGGAGATGGGGGGTCTTGCTGTGTTGCCCATGCTGGTCTCAAACTCCAGCCCTCAAGTGATCCTCCCATTTCAGCCCCCAAAGCACTGGGATTATAGGTGTGAGCCACTATGCCTGGCTTGGGATGTATCTTTTATCAAACAGCTTTGCAAGGCACTCACCTGTAATAACTAAGGCATTACATAGTGAACGAGTTATGGTTGACTAATAATAAAGATGCTATTTTCTTCCTTCAGACAGAACTTTATGCTTATGAATGGTGCACACAAAGTGGTTGTTCACTGGCCACAAGCTGGATACATAGTTGATATTTTTATAATTATTTTGGGACTTTAAGTTATTTGAAGGCCACTGTTGCTTCTAAACAAAATAGCACTCCTAAGATTAAAACAATCACAGTGAAAGCCACATAATACAGCAAGGGTGTGAGACACGGGGCAGAGGCAGGAAAGGGGCTGGTCTTCACTGCTACTGACTCATGGGGACTCCTGATAAGGGGCTTTGCCTTCCAGGTTTGTCCCTCTCTATAAAGCGAACAGGTTGTCGTGACTAGCCTGACCAACATGGTGAAACCTCATCTCTACTAAAAATACAAAAATTAACTGGGCATGGTGGCATGCGCCTGTAATCCAGCTACTTGAGAGACTGAGGCAAGAGAATCGCTTGGACCCAGGAGGCGGAGGTTGCAGTGAGCCAAGATCACTCCATTGCACTCTAGCCTGGGTGACAAGAACGAAACTCTGTCTCAATAAATAAATAAATAAATAAGCGAACAGGTTGAATTTAATGACTTCTGAGGTCCTGTCTGTTTTGTAACATCCTGTGGTTTTCACATTATAAAATATTATCTCTTACAGTGCCATCAGACAAGATCAGTTGATCAGAACAGAAAGCTAGCTCGGAAAATCCTACAAGAGAAAGTAGATGTTTTCTACAATGGTGAAAACAGTCCTGTTCACAAAGAAAAACAAGAAGCAGCGAAGAAAAAACAAGAAAGGAAAAAAAGAGCAAAGGAGACCCTGGAAAAAAAGAAGCTACTGAAAGAACTGTGGGAGTCAAGTAAAAAGGTCCACTGAGAAAAGAATTACAGATTCCAACTGACAGAATCTGCCAGAAGCTCCCAGGGAATAATGGCGGTGAGTTCCATCACCAGCATTATTACAGTGCTTCAAAAGAAATATGTTTGATGAACTTAAAAGACAACGAAGTTATTTAAATGGTGCACTAAAGTATAGTGAACAGAGACATGCACGACTCAAGAATAAAACTCGGCAGGCACGGTGGACAGTGCCTCACACCTGTAATCCCAGCACTTTGGGAGGCCGCGGCGGGCAGATCACCTGAGGTCAGCAGTTTGAGAACAGCCTGGCCAACATGGTGAAACCCCGTCTCTACTAAAAATACAAAAACTTAGCCAGGCATGGTGGTGGGTGCCTGTAATCCCAGCTACTTGGGAGACTGAGGCAGGAGAATTGCTTGAACCTGGGAGGCGGAGGTTGCAGTGAGCTGAGATTGCGCCACTGCACTCCAGCCTGGGCAACACCTGGGTGACAGAGCAAGACTCCGTCTCAAAAAAAGTAAATAAATAAAACTAGGTTGAGCACAATGACACACGCCTGTAATCCCAGCACTTTGGGAGGCTAAGGCAGGAAGATCACCTGAGCCCAGGAGCTCAAGATTGCACTGAGCTATGAACACCACTGCACTCCACCTGTCCACTTGTTCTTGTGTGACAGAACAAGACCCTGTCACTTAAAAAATAAGATAAGGCCGGGCGCGGTGGCTCACGCCTATAATCCCAGCACTTTGGGAGGCCGAGACGGGCGGATCACGAGGTCAGGAGATCGAGACCATCCTGGCTGACACGGTGAAACCCCGTCTCTACTAAAATACAAAAAACTAGCCGGGCGTGGTGGTGGGCACCTGTAGTCCCAGCTACTCGGGAGGCTGAGGCAGGAGAATGGCGTAAACCCGGGAGGCGGAGCTTGCAGTGAGCTGAGATCCGGCCACTGCACTCCAGCCTGGGCGACAGAGCGAGACTCCGCCTCAAAAAAAAAAAAAAAAAATAAGATAAAACCATAAAGAAACACAGAGTCAGTACTCTACAAGGATAATGGCTACTTCTAGAGGGAAGAAAGGCGTTGTCACTGTGATGAGGCACTTGGAGGGGCTCTGGGGTGCGTGACAAAGTTCTATTTCTTCACCTGGGTGATAGAAGGGTGTACCCCTATTTCAAGTTGTACCTTTGTGTGATTGTATCTGTTTTGTAATAATAAATTTTTTTTTAAATTAGTAAAGTCAGTTTTTATGGAGAACTGGAGAATTGAGTCAAACATTAATAGCATTTGGTGGCAACTTCTCATCTGCTGGGAAGCTGCTGCCCAGTGACACTTAAACATCAGTTATCCCGATGTCAGCTCAAGACAGTAAAAGAGAAAACAAGGGCCGGGCGCAGTGGCTCATGCCTGTAATCCCAGCACTTTGGGAGGCCGAGGCGGGGTGGATCACGAGGTCAGGAGTTCGAGACCAGCCTGACCAACATGGTGAAACCCTGTCTCTACAAAAAATACAAAAATTAGCCAGGCATGGTGGCACGTGCCTGTAATCCCAGCCACTCGGGAGGCTGAGGCAGGAGAATTGCTTGAATCCGGGAGGCGGAGGTTGCAGTGAGCTGAGATTGCGCCACTGCACTCCAGCGTGAGTGACAGAGCAAGATTCTTGTTTCAAAAAAAAAAAAAAAGAAAACAAGATGGTTGGAAGAGTTAAAGGCTCCGTTCCTTGTCCATCTGCTCCATTAGCTTCTAGGCTGCATGATGCCCAGTTGTGCCTCTGATGTAGAAATACATTCCCTGCGTGTTCATTTGCAAGATTTGTAAAGGTGAGGTTCCAGAATCTGATTGCTTATAAATTTACATTACTCAAGCTGGATTTGACCTTAGAGTTTTGTTGGTTTTTTTTTAAAGCCATGCTTAATAATTTGGCTTGTTAGAACTCTTCTGGAGTCCACCTAGAAAACAAATAGGGAAAAATACTGGGAGGTGAGAAGGCCATTGTGAGATTGCCAGTTGCAGGGCCTGCTTCAGTTCTGCAGTCTGTCCAGCAGCCTAGGCCGCATGTCCAGTGCATACATTCAAGCACACCTTTCACTTTGAGGCTGCCAATGAAGGCTCTTCTCACCTCAGTGACCGCTTTGGACGCTTACACATTCAATGCAAGGCTCATTTCACACCTCCTGTTGCGAGTGTACAAGACCCTTCCCCAGCCCAAACTCCCTTTAGAAAATAAAGTCTCTAGAATGACACCTAAGAAATCAGTAATAGTAGGAAGGGAAATTTGGAGCTGGAGATGAGGGACAGTGTTTCCCATTTGTCTCCTCTCTCATACCTTTGCAACTTTCTGCCACATGCAGAAAGGGGACACAGCACCCATTTCCCTAGAGCCTGTTCCTGTTGGCCTTCTGCCTTGTCACAGCTGAGAATTTGCCTGATGCCTACATCAAAGACAAGTCTCATTTGTCTTTGTCTACTGCTCAGCAAAGCAAATTCTCATTACAGGCATTTAGGGCCTAAGATACAGAGTAAGAATTAAAATCCCTTTGAGAGGCATTGTCAAGAGACCACCAGGTGGATTCTCAACACATCCAGTGTGGCCCATTTTTTCCCTGGCACCAAAGCAGATGATTCTTCCAGTGAGCATCTTATGAAGTAGCTTGAATTTAGGAGCCGCACTTTATGAAAAAGATTCCTCTAGCACCCAGCAAAAGCTCACAGGATAAGCACCTATGAACTGAGAATGGCCTAACCATGGGGCAATAGGCCAACTCAATAATATTGCTCCTGGCTGGGCAGGGTGGCTCATGCCTATAATCCCAGCACTTTGGGAGGCCAAGGCGGGTGGGTCACCTGAGGTCAGGAGTTCGAGACCAGCCTGACCAACATGGTAAAATCCCCTCTCTACTAAAAATACAAAAATTAGCTGGGAGTGGTGGCACGCTCCTGTAATCCCAGCTACTCCAGAGGCTAAGCTGGGAGAATCGCTTGAACCTGGGAGGCAGAGATTGCAGTGAACCAACATCAAGCCACTGCACTCTAGCGTAGGCAACAGAGGGAGACTCCATCTAAAAAAAAAATAATTTTTAAGAAAAAACTGCTTCTGGTATTTTTTTTTCCTAGCATACACTTACATTTGCTGCTGCATTTAAAATATACCGATAATGCAACTTCACTTTATCCCTACCTCCGACTTAGCAAACACATTCTTTCCCCAGCCAACTGTGCTAATGATGTCATCACCAAAATGTTTCCGGGTCAGGTGGGAAAATATACTTTGAACAGGTATCTCCTACCTCTTGTAAAAAGTAAAGTAGAGGTTCCTCTCCAAAGACTTTCCTCCCCATTTAATTTGGAATAAATAGTAACTTCTCTTAGAAGCAAAATTTATTCAAAGACCTATGCTAACATTCTTAATTATCTGCTAGCCGTGGTAAACAAATCAATGTACTTTATGTTCTTAGCTCCCACAGTGTAGCCTAAATATTTGCCTGGCATGCTTATACTGGTCCAAGCAAGCATTAGGTCATAGCCTGTTCCTCTTCCTTATTTAAAAGTGTTTTTACCTTTCTCACCATTCCACAAGTTACTTCCTCCTTCCTTTGTTCTCCTCTGCCTTTGCCTCTTTTAAAAAGTTCTAAGTTGCTAGCCAATCAGGACAAATACAGAATGTGAGGTCCCGTTCCAGCCAATGGAAACCAGACACAGCCGTAGGGTGGACGCGTCAGGTTATAAATGACCCGGTCTCTTTGTTCGGTGTACTCTCATGGCAAAACTGGCGAGCGTACCCTTTCAGCAAGAAGTAAAACTGGCCTTGCTAAGTAAATGAATGTTCAAGTGCTATTTCTTTACGGCACCGGGGAACAAGCATTTCAAACACTTTCATGAGAGATTATTTAAAACAGCACTTCTTTAGATGAGGCATGGTGGTTCACACCTATAATCCCAGTACTTTGAGAGGCTAAGGTGGAAGGATCACTTGAGCCCAGGATCCAACCTAGGCAACATAGTGAGACCTCATGTCTACAAAAAAAAATTGTTTTTTTTTCCCACACACCCACTCATTCAATACAAAAAGTATTTTAAAAATTATTCAGGCGTAGTGGCACACACCTGTAGTTCCAGCCACTAGGGAGGCTGAAGTGGGAGGATTGCTTGAAGGAGGTTGAGGCTGTGATGAGCCAAGATTACATTACTGCACTCCAGCCTGGGTGGCAAAACAAGACCCTGTCTCAAAAAAATAAAACCACGTGGCCGGGCACGGTGGCTCAAGCCTGTAATCCCAGCACTTTGGGAGGCCGAGGCGGGTGGATCACGAGGTCAGGAGATCGAGACCATCCTGGCTAACATGGTGAAACCCCGTCTCTACTAAAAATACAAAAAACTAGCCGGGCGTGGTGGTGGGCACCTGTAGTCCCAGCTACTCGGAGGCTGAGGCAGGAGAATGGCGTGAACCCGGGAGGCGGAGCTTGCAGTGAGCTGAGATCCGGCCACTGCACTCTAGCCTGGGTGACAGTGAGACTCTGTCTCAAAAAAAAAAAAAAAGAATTCAAGGAACCCACATTTTAATACAAATTGTTAATGAAAATAAGCTTTATTACATCAAGTAATAAATACATACAAAGATGCAAACAGTTTTAGTCATTTTCTTCCAGATGTTTTTATCAACTTACAATAAACGCGGAACTGAGATCTACTTACAGTCTTAGTATGAAAATGTTCGGGGGTCCTTGTTAGGTTTGGTGGGTTGCTCTTTCTTCTGTATTTATAACTTGTGCATTTTTAAAAATTGACTTTGAAGCACTAATAGTCATGCAAATGCTTAAGCAAAAAAGAAGTTACATTAAGCAGAACCTACACTGTATGGCAAATGGGAGCCAGCTACTAAGTAAAGGGTGCTGTCAATATGCATTAAAAACAAAATCCCTAGAGCGGTGTTAGCTTATGAAAAGGAACAAAGAACACCGTGGGTAACAAATGCATTCAAAAGAGAAGATTAAAGGGAGGCACTGGCGTCTGAGGCAAAATATAGTTTGCTGTAAGATAACTTTACGTGCATCTTTTAAATCAATGCTAAAAAAACAAAAAAACCTGGGCAGTTCCTAACTACTTAAAATGCAAATCCTAATTAACAGCAAAATCTTTTCTCAATCTTTGAGACTGTAGGTTCAGAGCCAAGTGAACCATGGGAGGAAAAAACAAACTGTAACCATTTTGAAAACAAGGGTTTCATCTGAACAGGGGAGATGAACTGTAACTTCTCATCTTGTAAAAAGATGGAAATCCTTCAAAACCAACAAGGCAGCTAGGATCTGGCATTCCGTTCCGTTTCTGCTAAGCACTCCCGAACCAGTCCTCTAGCGTGAATGATGCCTGAAAGAGAGGCAGAGACCTGAGATCAGCCGGTGCACAGGACCAGCCAGTAGAGCCCATTCTGGAACAGGAAGAGGATCCATCCTTCCACAGCCTGTC